CGCCGTGCTGCGTGCCGCAGGCGCTGGAGCCACTGCCCATCGTGTACTACGTGGGCCGCAAGCCCAAGGTGGAGCAGCTGTCGAACATGATCGTGCGCTCCTGCAAGTGCAGCTGAGGCCCCGCCCCGCCGGCAGGCCCCGCCCACCCGGCAGGCCCGGCCCCGCCCCCGCCCGCTGCGCCGGGCTGTATTTAAGGACACCGCGCCCCAGGCATCCCCCCCATCCCCGGGGTCCATTAAAAGTGGAGAGAGGACTGGGGTCTCTGTGTGTCGTTGGGTCCCTGACTGGGTCCCCCTCTCGACATTCCCGACGTTCCCGGCCTCCCGCTCCACCTGCCGCCTCGTGTAGCTCTCATTCATTTCCTCCCACCGACACCTGCGGAGCACTCTCTAAGCTCCAAGTACTCCCCGGTGGACGCTGGATCTATTTATTGAGCACTTAGTGCTCGGTTCCAAATGCTTAAAATTGATTAACACATTGATCACCGTAACAAAGCTCTGAGATGCTGTGTTATGTGAGATAACACTCAGTGTAAAGGTGAGGAAGCCAGAGCCCAGAGAGATTAAGGGAATAGGTCCTGCCCACCTGGAACCTACTTTCTGGGAAGTAGACAGATATGGAAAGCGACACTAAGACGGGAAAGCAGGATAGAGTGAGAGGAGGAGGGAGGGCTCCTTGGAGGAGGTAGCATTTGGGACTTGAAGGAAGTCAAAAAGGTAGTCTGGGGGGAGCCCTGAGGGAGTGTGTTCTTGGTAGGAAGACCTAGGCAGAGCTTGGCCATGAGGATGAAGTTGGAGTGAGCAACACTAGGAGGAAAGGCCAATGTGGTTGGAGGGGAGGGACAAGGGGAAGGGTGTTGGGAGCTGAGTCAGTTGATAAATGCTCAAGGGGCAGAGAGTGATAATAGTCCCCCTGCCAGGTACGGGTGTAGGAGCTCCCCTATTCTCCCCACAGCCCAGCAGAGCAGGGGTTGGCAAATTACTACCTGCAGGCCAATTCTGGCCTGCTGCCTATGTCTGTAAATAAAGTTTTATTGGAGCACAGCCATGCCCATTCCTTTGTATATCACTTAGGGCTGAGTAGAAACTGTATGCAGTCACAATTAGTTATTATCTAGCCCTTTACAGAAAAAAATTGCCAGCTCTTGCTACAGAGACTCTTTGCTGCCCACTTTACAGATGGGGATACTGAGGCACAGAGAGGTTTGCTACTTTTAAGGTCACACAGCTGGCACGTGGCAGAGGTAGGTTTCAAACCGAAACAGCTTGAGTTGAGGATCTAGGCCTGCAACCCCTGCACTGGGACTGCTTCCCGGTCCACATCAGGCCTCTGGGGGCCTGTGAGAACTTGTACTTCAAGGGAGATGGGCGCCACATCAGGTTTGGAACAGAAGAGGAGTGTGATTTGACTTCGGGGTTCAGAGGGTCCCTCGAATGAATGAGGGCAAGGGGGCTGCAGGGTGACCATTTGTCCAAGTGGGAAATGCCAGTGCCCTGAGCCAGGGTGGCCCTCCATCTGCTGCCCTGTCTCTTCCCATCTGTTGGGGCTTGCCCATGAATTCTCTCCTCCTTCCTCTTTCTCTGCCTCTGCAGCTTCCCCTCTGTGTCCCAGGTTTTGGTTCCCCCCACTGTCTCCTGCCCTTCCCCAGGGCCTGGTCCTGTTCTGCTCCTGGCCCAGGGATCACCCTGGGTGGGGGTCACTGTGTAAGGACATGCTACCATTTTCACCAGCCTCCTGTGTGGAGACACTTGCAAGCACGTGGTGACACAGACCGTAGCCACTGGAGCCCTGTGAAAATGCGGCACAGCTACACACGTGTTCACACTCTTGACAGGTTGTTATATGGACAGTGTCCCACAGTCTCCCCAGACACCTTCACCTCTCTGAGCCACAGGGGATACACAAAAACTCCTGACACCTGGTGGACACAGCCCATGCATGCCACCCACTACATGTGCACAGCCCAGTCTGAAGCCTCCCTGGCACACAGCAGAACACAGCCGCACAAATGCATTCTGCAGGGTCACAGTCACGACCACTGCACACCGGATACGGATTTAGAGGCAGTGCCACGCACAGACATGCACCTCCCAGCATCGGAGCCCCATCAGGAAATGGAACAGAGACTCCTGCCGGACCGACCAGCAGTTACACAAACATCCTCCATGGGGTCAGGCTCACAAACAGGCACAGTGCACGCGCACACAACCTGACACAGCCCAGTCCCACCCAGACACACACCACACATAGAGACACACGTCAGGGTCACACAGACTGCAGGCCCGTCATGCCCACTCAGTCTGACATCTCTTGGCCCCACACACTCAGGCCGGGGGAGTCCCACAAGGCCCGGCAGACAGCAGCTGGCCCGTCATACCCAGACACACTGTCACACCCCGGGTCCCAGACGGAGCAGTCCTACACACCCAGACACACCCCCAGGGTCGTGGCCCTCGCACGCCCGTGCCTGGGCCCGAGGACAAGTCCTGGCCGCACACTGGGGGTGGCACGCCCCGCGGTCGCCTGAGCCCTTGCCACGCCCTCGTGACACACCCCGCCCACCTGCCGGCCGGGCTGAGTTGGCGGGGAGGCCGCCCAGGAAGGGAAACTTGCGGGCTCAGCACCTTCCTGGACTGCCTGCAGGCGGCCCCTGCCCTGCTACCCGGCACCTCCGGCCGCAGGGGCGCTGGGGGCCGTTGGGACGAGGGAGTCCTGGCCCCTAGCCAAGTGGTGGGGCGGGACCGGGGGTTCGGGGCGCCCCACTCCCCTCCCCCACTTCTGCGGGCAGCCCTGGAGGGGAGGGAAGTCGTGGGGGGAGCCTGGGTTCCGGCCGGAGCCCCAGCTTCCCGTCCGGCCCCCACGGGGGCAGGAAGCGGGCGGGGAGGCCAGCTCAGGCCTTCCTGCCCCCTCCCCTAGAGGCCTGGGAGCTAGGTCATCTGGAGGGAGTGGGGGGAGCAAGGGTGGGGGAGGGGGATGAGAGAAAGCCCCTTCCTCCCTTCCTTTTTTTTTTTTTTTTAAAGCCCCTTCCTCCAAACCTGATTGGTATCTTGTGTTTCTAATATATATTTAAACACGTTCAGGACCCCTGTGTGTGTGTGTGTGTGTGTGTGTGTGTGTGTGTGTGCAAGCTTTGTGCTCCGAGTTTTGTGTCTAGCATGGGGGTTTCTAACCACCCTGAGATGCCCTCCAGCTGTGCTGAGTGTGGGCAGGTACTGTCAGAGTGTGTCCCCAGCACGTGTCCCCTCCGTGGGTCCGAGTTTTGTGTTTCGGTCTAGAAGCTGGTGTTCTCTCTGGGCTCTGTGACATGACACTGTGTGTCTCAGCAAGTCTGTGTGCAGGAGTGGGTCGTCTCCCTGGGGTGGGCTGTGTGAGTTTTTTCTCAGCACTTTTGCTGTTGTTCTCGGGGCGTAAATTCGTGCATTCTGCGGGAAGTTTGACTTGAAATGCGGATGTTTTCTGTGCATGTTTACACGTCTGCGAGAAAGGTGTTTCCAGGAGTTTGCTGTGGGAGCTGGCTTTCCAGTGCTTGTGTGCGGCAGTTCGCAGCGTCTGCGTGCTGTGGGCGGCTTGTTTCTGGGTGATGTTCGGGATCAGTGTGTGCATCCCTGGTATTCGGAGCACGTTGCGTCTGTGGGGTGTGTCTCCAGCATGCTTGCTGTCATATTCCTCGTGTGTGTGTGTGTGTGTGTGTGTGTCCATCTGTCCATTCAGGGACTGGTATCCTCAGCTCTAGGAGCAGATGGTGTTTGCATTTTGTCTCCCCACATGTGGGCTGGTGACTTCGGTGTGTGAGCTCTAGTGTGGGTCTCTATTTTGCATCATGTGATCTTCAAGGTGTTTTGAGTTTTCAGGGGGGTGGCACTGTGTCCTGCAGGTCTGTGTTTTGTGCTGGTGTTTCCAGGGCCGGAGCAAGGCGGGGGGGGGGGGGGCGCATGGTGTGTCCCCAGGGAAGCCGTTGGCATCCCGAGCGACACGCCCAGTGGCCTCTGTGCTGAGTGGAGGCTGCGTCTGCGGTGTGTCCCCTTGCCGGCTGGTGCCACGCTGGCTCGGGGCTGGCTGTGGCAGGCGGGCAGGGCAGGGGCTGTGGTGGGCACTGGACCCGCGCCCGGACCTTGGTATAAATATCCCAGCTGCCGGCGGCTGTGTTTACTCGGCCCCAGCCTGGGGGCGGCGGCAGCCCAGCAGGTCCTGGGGGCGGGGGTGACCAGGCCACAGCGCAGACACTTCCTTCTGGCCAGACAGGCCACAGCCTCACTGCCCCTTCCCGCCCCCTTTCTGGATGGGGGTGTGGCGGCGACCCCTCATCCTGGGCTCCCAGGGGCCACCAGTGACCCTCTGACCTGAACATCCTCACTGGGCTTCCCAGGGTCTGGGAGACCGAGAAGAGGGACTAGCCGCCAGGGGTGAGGGGGCAGGCCAGGGACCCCAGGGAAAGGGAGAAAAGGGGGTGGAGCCTCTGGTAAGAAGGCACAGGCATGGTCTGCGAGGTGCAGAGACGCGTGTGGAGGGCTGAACGGGAGGGAAGCCAGAAGGGTGGCAGACTTCTTGGGCAGGACTGACGGGGAGGGGCGTGGAGAGTAGAGGGCTAGAGGGGAGGTGGGAAATGATGGGAGATCAGAGCAGCCGGGGAGGCCCAAGGGGCTGAGAGGAGGGAGGGGAGGGGGGCAGCGGTGGGAGGGACAGGATGAGAAGGCAGGAGATGCAGGGGGGTCAGACAGGGGTGCGGGTGGCGGCCGGCAGGGCCAGCCAGGACACACAGGAGACGGGGTGGGGGCCGGATGCCCACGGAGGGGCTCTCCCTCCCTGACTCAGCCTCTCCGTCCACCCCGACCCAGGGCTGGGGGCGGAGGGCCAGGCGCCCCCCGGGGCACCTCCAGGTCGCAGCGGGCTGTGTCGGGGGTGTGTCTCCCACAGGCCCTCTCCACTGGCCCCACCTCTGTCTAAGCGGCCAACGCTCCCCGTCTCCGCCATCTGACTAACCCTAATTCTGACTCAGCTGCTGTTGTCTCTCATCACTTTATTATGTAACGAATCTACGTCCGGCAAAGTATATCACAAACAGCCTTAATGACCAAATGACAGACGGACGAAACCCGCACACATCACGGAGGGCTGCTCCTGTGTTAGCAAACTCTCCCGGGCTGCGGGCTGCGGGCACACACATACCCAGGGGCAAGCCGGGCCGGCGGAGGATGCTGCGCTTCTCTGGGAGCCGGGGCAGCGACGCGGCGGCACATGGGGCGCAGGAGCGCCGTGATGGTTCCGGCCCAGGTGCTGACTTACACGCCATCCAGACGGTTCCGAGCCCTTGCGGGGCGGTGCCAAGCGCGTGGGGAGGGGGTGAAGCTTAGCGCTGGTATCCTGACAGCCAGCTCCTCGTTGGTCTTCCTGACACGCAGCCTACGACAATGGTCTCCAGCACCTGTGAGGTCCTAGACCCAGTGTTCCATCTCCACTGGCCAGGCGGCCTTCACCAAGTGACATCTCCCTTCTGGCCTCCCCTGACTCACCTATGAAATGGAGGTGAGTCCCCGGTTCACAGGGCTGCTTGGAGGACTCAGTGTGGCGCCGGGCCCGGCAAAGGACAGGGCTGTTCAGTCACTGGATGCTTCCATACTTAAGTCTCTCCATGTGAATGTCCCTTGGCCTCTAGGCCAGCTCTCACTTTCTGTGTCTGGCTCTAGTCCTGCTTGACCCAGAGGGCAGAGCTGACGCCCAAGGGTCAAGAGCTGTGGCCCCAGGAGGCCTCGGGGTCTTCCCCTTACGCTGGGCTGCCTGCCTGAAGTGGTCTTGAGGGTCCTGTGGGCTTGGCTATGGTGAGGTGCCACCATTCTGGCTTCCAGGAGCAAAGGGTCCCCAGGCCCCGCCTCTCTGACCTGTGGCCTCTGCCGCCCACCCCCACGCAAGATGCTGACCCTGTCTCCATGTGTGTCTGCTGGGGTAGCAGGAGCCGGGTGTGGGGGCATGGGAAGGCGGGACGCCTGGGTTCCCACAGGCCAGTGGCTGAGTCACTGGGAGGCCATCTGGCTCCCATTAGCCCGGGGCGGCAGGGGGCTCTGTGGGGCGGGCCCTGTGGCCAGCTGGGGGCAGGGATGCTGGGGCAGGCTGTGTGTGGGATGACTCAGGACCCATGATAACAGCCTGTGCGTATTCAGGGAGTGTAAACAGGAGAGGGAGAAGGAGGCGGAGGAAATGAAGGAAGGGAACATTGTGGCCAGCAGACGGGGGTGTGGGGCTGACAGGGGAGAGCCCCCTGCCCCTTCCCGCCATACCCAAGCTGGCAGGCTCGTGGCCCCAGTGATGCCCCTGCATCCTCCTCCCAAGCCGGGGTCCTGGCGGAGAGGTTACTGCTGGTAGACACCTTCCTCCGCAGTCAGGGCTCTGGAGGGACCACATGGAAACCAGAGACAGAAAGGCTGAGAGGCAGACAGAGGGCCAGAGGCGGCGTGGAGTGCGAGAGATGGGAGCGTACAGGCAGGAAGAGCCAGAGCCCCGGAGAGCGAGGCTGAAGGAGACAGGATGGAACAGAGGCAAGGAGGCAAGAGCCGCAGTGCAGAGGCGGAGAAACAGGCTCGGAGGAGAGGCTGGGGGCAGACCCGGACCCTGCACTGGGCACTTCCATCCACCTGGCCTCACATGGCCTACAGCTACGAGAGGCCCACTGGCCTCGCTCAAGGGGAGGATGTTCGGCCTGGGCCCTGTCGTGGGAAGAGAGGCACAGAGAAGGGGACAGAGAAAGGCAGAGAGGAAAGACAGGTGCAGACGGAGGAAGGGATGCAGAAAGCAAGAGAAAAGCAGGGAGAAAAAGCGAGTGAGCCAGAGAGATAGTGAGACACAGGCGGAGTGGGCGTTGGAGGGCGGGGGGGGGGGGGGGAGAAGCAGGGAACCCCACACACAGAGGGGCAGGGAGTCGGCTGGGATGGCACCAGAGCCAGCGAGGCTGTGCCCTAGAGGGAGTCGTGGGTGGGGCAGGTGGCCAGGCCATCAGTCCCCGTCCAGCTCTGGGCTGGGTGCGTCCTCAGGCTCCTCCTCATCGAAGTACCTCTCCTCCTCATCCCGTGCCACGATGTCCAGGTTGTCAAAGTCGGGGTTGTCGTCCACAGTGCTGCAGAGGGAGGGGGCTGTCAGGGGCTGGCTCTGTGGGCCCCAAGGTCAAAGGCCATATGCTGGCAGCTGTAAATGGGAGCTGACCCCTGGAGGGGTGGCACAGAGTCTCTCAGAGCTTCAAACAAAAGGCAACATTTTCCAAAGCAGAGATTTTACATAAAAACTTCTGGTTTCTGGGACGCCTGGGTGGCTTGGGGGTTAAGCGTCTGCCTTTGGCCCAGGGTGTGATCCTGGAGTCCCCGGATCGAGTCCCACATCGGGCTCCCTGCGGGAGCCTGCTTCTCCCTCTGCCTGTGTCTCTGTCTCTTTCTCTCTCTGTGTCTCTCATGAATAAATGAATAAAATCTTAAAAACAAACAAAAAACTTCTGGTTTCTCTCAAAAAGCTGGAAGATGTGGTGACAGGACTCACACTCCCAAGTGGTTCTCAATCAGGAAGATTCTCCCCTCTGGGGACGTTTGGGGATAACTGGAGACACTTTGGTTGTCACAGCTAGGGGGCTCCTACTGGCATGTGGGGACTCGACAACAGGGAAGCCACTCAGCACCCTACTGTGCACAGGACGATGCTCCACATGAAGAATCATCTGGCCCAATAGGCCAACAGTGCTGAGAAATGTCTACCCTAAGGTGACCAGTGATCCTGAATTGTCGAGGACCCTTGGCTCGACACCAAACCCTTCCATGACTTCCACCACACTTGCCTGGGTGCAGAAAGCTGTCTAATCTGGTCCCGCAAACTCTGATGAGACCACCTACCTCACCCCTTGTGGATTGCTCCAGCCACCTGAGCCACCTTGCTGTTCCTCCGAGTTACCTCAGGGCCCTTGCACCTGCTGTTCTCCCTGCAGGAACATTCTCATCCCAGATATTTATGTTGCTTACCCCTCACATCATGTAAGTCTGTGCTGAAGCGTCACCTGCTTGGAGAGCCTTCCCTGGCCACTTCGTCACTACTCCCAACCCCCCGCCCCTGGACCCTGCCTTCATTTTCTTTACGGGCCCATCAGTACTAGATGCTAAATACTTCTTTTGCTTCCTCACTAGAGTGGGACTCTCTTCAGGGCAGGGAACCCTTTTGTCGGTTTTGTTCACTGCTTTAGCCCGGGAGTCTGGAAACGGCAGGTACTCAGCACACAGCAGCTGAATGCAGATGAGGGACCCACTGGCCCTGCTGCCCAGCAGTGGCCCTTCCGAGGGGACGGGCTTTGCTCACCACTCACTCCTCTCCCTTACGTCATACCCAGTTTCCTCATGGGCACCTGGCTCTCTGAGGGCTCCCCACGGCCCAGGAACTCTGTGCCCCGCTTTGTGTGGGAACTCAGGCCCAGAGGCTCTACCACAGCTGGCAGTGGATCAACCAGCCTTGCCTCTAGAGCTGGGTGGTGGGGTGGGGGTAGCCCTAGATCAGGCTCGCGATACTCCTGGGGGCCGTGGCAATGGCGCCCCCCACTCAGCTGGTGAGGCTCCACTTGGTGAGGCTCCACTTGTTCGTGTGTTGCTGGGGCTGGGTCTGAAGCCGGCCCTTGGCTGGCACACCCACAAGGCGAGACTGCCTCAGTTGTCAAAACCATTTATCTTGGATACTTTGCTCCTGTGTCCTTTTCACTGATGGCAAGAATCCTTTCCAAAGCAGTGGCTGTGTGTCTTGCCATGGGGTTACAATGGGGATGTCAACGAGCAGCACTGTGGGGGCAGCCCCCAAAGTACCCCCTGTGCCAGGCACTGACTGCCAGGGGTTATTTCCTGAGCACAGGGAAGTCTGAGGAAGAAGCTGGGGTGCCTGGGAGACACCTGGAGAGGCCTGGGGTGGTGGCATCCTACAAGGCCACCACCACTCACCTGAATGGAAATATTTCAATGTTTTATCCAGTTTGAGCTGTTCGTCAGCCCTGCTTAGTCCCTTCATCAGGTGAGGGGACGGAGACTCAGAGATGGACAAAGCTCAACCAAGGACACCCACCAATCTCTGGTTGATGTGAAACCCTCATGCCATCTGAGCAGAGTAAGGGCTGTGGGGTGCCAGGCTGGGGGAAGGGGAGTGGGGCCCCAGTCACCTGTAGTCAAAGTCCCCGTCCTTGCCGTCCAGGAAGCGCTGGTGCATCCGGCTGGTGAACTCTTCCCGCAGAATCAGCCGTTCTTCTGAGTCAGGCACCCAGGCTTCTGAGTCTTTGCTGGGGCTCTGGTCTGTAGGGGTGGACACCCACAGTGGGGGTGATGTGAGCAGGCCACTAGGGGAGGTGCTGAACACTCAGACCCTGGGAGCCACCTCCTCTGTGCTGGTGGCACTAGGAATACAGTGGTGACCAAGACAGCCCCAGCCCGGCCCTCCTGGGGTCCATGCCAGACACAATGACAGTACAGTGCTCTGGAGGCTGCAGAACAGGGTCACGACCTGCTACCTGGAGTGTGGTAAAGGGAAGGCATTCCCGGCAGAGGGAACAGCATGAACAATGGCCTAGAGGTGAGCGATTGCTGGGTGCCTTTGGGGAGTGGGGAACAGAGATGCTGGAAAGATTGGGAATAGTCTGGGCACTCAGGCCATGCAGGGAGGAGAGGGACGTGAGGTCTGCTCCTGCAGGTCAGAGGCCCAGCCTGGGAGGCTCCCTGGTACTGTCCCTCACCTTCCTCATCACTGTCGTCCTCCTCTTCCTCCTCCTCCAGGCAGGCCTCCTCCTCCTCCTGCTGCTGGAGCAGCCGCTGCTGCAGCTCCCGCTCCTGGTAGGACTGGAGCAGCAGGTCGGAGAGCGGGCAGGCAGGTGTGCCGAGGGCGCCGGGCTTGGGCGGCTGGTGGGTTGGGGTGCGGGCACTAAGCTCCTCCTGGGTTAGGTACTGCCCGATGTACTGCTCGTATAGCAATGGGGCCCGGAACCGCATCTGCTCGTCACTGAAGTACTCGCCGCCTGCACAGGGACAGGGTGGGTATGGGGTCAGGGGTCTATGCGTGAAGCTGGGGCCTGGGTGCAGGATGAGCATGTCTGAGCAGACACATGTCCGTGATCATGCTTGTAGGGAGCCATGAGCGCACAAGTGCAAGCGTATGTGTGTACATTCAGACACGTAGGGAAATGTGCAGGGGACTGAGGTCACGTGACTGGAGTACTCGCACATGCATCTGAGCACGTGTGCGCAATCAGCCCTGTATCAGCACATGTACTCACGCGTGCATGGTCAGCTATGTACATTCTGGCCCCCGAGCACCGGTGGCCTGGGGCCTGTGCACAGCTATGCCTGGGCAGGGTTCATACATCCCTGCCCATTGGTGTCCATGGTCACACAGGTATACACAGCCTCCTGAATGCCTGACTGGGCGTGTTTGGGAGTCGGCGTGTAGGATGCCACAGCCAAGTGGCCTGCACACAGGAGCCAGGATGTAGACTATGTGTGGCCGTCTGTGCACAAGCTGGACATGCCAGATGTGGGCATCCCTGGTGGTCTTCTAGACCCCAGATCTCACCTCTCTCCCAGAGTGTTCTTCTCAGTAGTCCTCCCTCAGGTGGGCTTGGCTTCCCCACCACCCTCAAACCCAGGATCTCTGAGTCTCCCCTGGCTGCCTGTTCCTGTAGGGTGGCTCTGACCCTCAGAAAACAGTTAAATCTGCCCAGTCCCTCCTACCCACAGGTCTCAGCCCCGTTTTCAGGGCCCAGGGCAAGAATCTGCCCAGAATCCTGGCCTCTGCAGCGCTGGGGTCTGTGGCCATCCCTGTTCTAACCGTCCCCCTCATCCATCTGTTTCTGGTGTTTCCCACCATAGTGTTTCTCTCCCTCCATTTCCCTGGCTGTCAGCCTCTCTCCCTCAGTCTGTTTCTGCCCTTCTGCCTCCTGTCCCTCCTGGGTTCTGTGTCTGTCACCCCCTTACCCCATTCATTCGATCCTCCTCCCTCCCATCTTTCTTCACTCTCTGCCTGTCACGGAGTCCTATCTTCTCCACCTCCCTTGCTCTAGGGCCTGTGTCTTTTCCCTAACCAGAATCTTCACTCACTCTCTGCTTTGTGTGCTCTCATCTTTCAACTTCAGTTCTGGTGTCCTTGTTCAGAAAGATGCTTGTAATTCTGCTGTGGTCAAAAAGGTATGGGTGTTTTCCTTCATGGCCTTCACATGTGTGCTTTGTTTTGGAGGGCCTCTGTGTCCCCAGAGTCACAGACATACTGTCCTGGGTTTCCTCAGCACCTCTGTGTATGGTGTGAGGTAGGGAATCGTGTTTCCCTGAGAGATAACCAGCCATCATAGTGCTGGGTTCTGTGTCTGTGATCCACTGATGTCATCTACTAAATTCTGGCCCTTCTCACTGCTTGTCCCATTCTCCTCCCTGGGTTCCTGTCTCTACCTATCTTGCCTCATCACTTCATGTTTCTGTTTCAACCTCCCTGTGTCTGTGTCTCAAAACTTACCTCCCAGGACCTCTGCCCATGTCTCTGTCCTTGCATCCTGTTTCTTACTTCCTCTGCCTCAGTATCCCTACCCACCCAGCCCACCTGTCCCCACACCTTGGATGAGCTCACGCAGGGCAGCGTAGCGTCGGTTACGCAGGCGGGTGCGCAGGGTGCGGGGTCGGGCACTGCCCTGCCGGGCCACCTCGGCACAGTAGAAGTCTGCACGATGGTCACCGCGCAAGTGGCCAAAGCAGGCCAGATGCTCCTCTCGGAGGCCTGTGCGGAAGCGCTCCAGGAACACCAGTGGCTTCTCGTGGTATAGCTGGCCCAGGATGGCCACCTTCTCCCGCTCAGTCAGGTCAGGCTCGCCCTGCTGCTGGCTACACACAGGCAGGCGGCTGGCAGCCACAGCACGCAGCATGGCACTCACCGCCGGATTCTCAGCCCCAGGGGAGCCATCATCCGGGGCCCCTGGTGCTCTCTCTGCTGCTTCCAACTTGTTCTGGGGTCTGGGTGGGACAGGTGTCCAGCTCAGTTCTCCCCAGTGCCCAGTACTGGCCTGTGTACAGTCTATGGAGAGAGGGGAGATTTATTAGTCCTGGGATGGGAATGCGGGAGAGGTGGAGTGGGTAGAAAGAACTCATTTTACATTTACTGAGTACCTACTATCTCCTGGGCACTGTTCTAGGTTCTAAAGATACCGTAGGAAGCACAAAGTTGACATTTTAATAGGGGACATGGACAATGAAAAATAGAATTATTGAAAACGTATGATGTGTTAGCAAACATACAGTCTGTTGTACGGTTCTAAGAACTATGTAGAAAAATGAAGAGGGACACCTGGATGGCTCAGGGGCTGAATGTCTGCCTTTGGCTTGGGGTATGATCCTGAGGTCCGGGATCGAGTCCTGCATCAGGCTCCTTGAGGGGAGCCTGCTTCTCCCTCTACCTATGTCTCTGCCTCTCTTTCTGTATCTCTCATGAATAAATAAATAAAATCTTAAAAAAAATTAAATTAAATAAAGCCTTTCCTTTTAAAAAAAAAATGAGGAGGGAAGGAGGAGGGAATGGGGTCAGTGGTGGGCAGGCTGCAATTTAATTTATTTGAAAGAGGGAAGAGGGAGGTGGGGAGGGGAAGAAAAAGGGAGAAAGAATCTGAAACAGACTCTGTGCTGAGCACAAGCCAACGTGGGGCTCGATCCTATGACCTGAAACTAAACCAAGAGTCAAACGCTTAACTGACTGAGCCACACCAGGCGGCAATTTTAAATGGGGCAGTCTGAGAAGACCTTGCCAAAAAGTGACAGTAGAAACCTGAGGTATTGAGGGACTGAGCCACGACATTTTTTGGGGAAGACAGTTCCACAGAAAGGGAACAGCCAGTGCAAAGGTCCTGAGGTAGGAGTGTGTTTGGTGTGTTAAGTTGGTCCCTCACCACCTCATTCATTGACTTACTCAATTCCTTGCCTTTTCACTTGTTCACTAACACATCCACTAAATTGTTCACTCACTCCCTCGCTCTCTCCTACTCATTCACACATTCATCTAGCCACTTTTCAGCAACTCCAAATCTTGTGAGGCCCTGAACTGGACCATGCTGAAGATCCATGGGAATGAGCCAGCCCAACTCCTGCCCTCAGGGAACAGGCAGTATGATGGGGAAGACAGGAAGGTCAAAGACAAAACAGGTACTGGTAACAGGCAAACTGGGCGCTAGGCAAACCTTGTTGAGAGCTGCTTCTCAAAATGTGTAGGAACTGGAGCGAGGCTGAGCAAGCAGAAAATAAGAGAAGACAGAAAGTACAGGCAACTCTTTTGGGCAGTTTGGCTGGGACAGGGAAGAGGGAGGGGGCAAGGGTTACAAGTGCAGTGGGTTTCAGAGAGGGTTTTAATCATTGGGACCAGAGAAAACTAAGCTGAACCAGGGCAGGGGCCGTGGAGGAGGGCACATGAGGCGGTTGGTGGTTAGAAAGATGCTCAGGAAGCTGAGTAGACAAGCCATGGCGCTGAAGGGCTGGGAGGCGAGGGGTGCAACCAGTTCAGGTCTGGGGCTCTGGTCTGGGAACTAATCAAAATGTCCCTGAGACAGTAATGGATGAGGAGCAGATTTGGGGCGGGGGAAGCAGAGATGCTGAGGCCAGGCTGGGACATGGGCCCAGGGTACTTCCAAGGGGAGACATCTAAGAGACTGCTGGTGTGTGGGGCTAGAGACTTCTCAGAAGAAAAGTATAGGGCTGGGGACAGAGCCATGGAGTCAGCAGAACCAAGTCAAGAACCAAAGCCAAAGGAAATGAGAGCTCTTGGGGAGGGCAAGGGGAGTGTGTGAGGATGGGAGAAGAGTAGGCTAGGAAAGAGCCTGACTGGATGGGGAGAAGCCACGCCCACAAAGAAGGCCATGGAAGGCTACAAAATGGGCCCTGGAAAGACAGCCACGCTTTAATTTCTGGAGCCTGTGTGACTGTTTATGGCCAAAAAATGGGTTTCTACAGATGTGATGAAGTTAAAGGATCCTGGGACAGGGAGATTATCTTGTCCAGGTGGGCCCTACATGTCATGAGGAGGGTCCATAAGAGAGTCCAAGGGAGACTGGACATACAGAGAAGAGAAGGCCACGTGGAGATGGACAGAAGCAGAGATCAGAGTGATGTGGCCACATGCCAAGAATGCCAGGAGCCACCAGAAGCTAGAAGGGCCTCTGAGGGAGCCCTCCACGGTCCTGCTAACACCTTGATTTCAGTCTCATGGTACCAATTTCAGACCTCTGGCCTTCAAAACTGTGAGAAAATGCATTTCTGTTTTAAGATGACCCCAGTTTGTGGTCCTCTGCTGCAGCAGCCATAGGAAACTGTGAGAGGATGAGTGGGAGGAGTTGAGAGAGAAGGAAAGGCAAAAAGTGGTGTCACAGAAACCAAAGGGGGACCCTGGGTGGCTCAGTTGGTTGAGTGTCCAACTCTTGGTTTTGGCTCAGGTCGTGATCTCATGGGTCATGAGACAGAGCGTGGAGTTGGGCTTCAGGCTCCTCACTTGGTGGGGAGGCTGCTTGAAGATTCTCTCCCTCTGCCCTCCCCCTCAAATAAATAAATAAATCTCAGAAAGAAGGAAACCAACCAACCAAAGGACAGCTTTCAAGAAGGATGGAGGGGTCGATGGCACTGAATTCTCCAAGTGGTCTAATAAGAGAAAACCTGACTGGGGTGACTCCTTTTAACTACACCGAGGGGGGTGGGGTCATTGGTGACCCTGATCAGAGCAGTTTGTGGATGCAGAATCCGGACTGCAAGTCAGTGGGAGGTGAAGAAATGGAGGCAGGTGTGGAGGACTCTGGAGAAGATACATGGTATCTTAAGGCCCATGGGGGATCCCTGGGTGGCGCAGCGGTTTGGCGCCTGCCTTTGGCCCAGGGCGCGATCCTGGAGACCCGGGATCGAATCCCACGTCGGGCTCCCGGTGCATGGAGCCTGCTTCTCCCTCTGCCTGTGTCTCTGCCTCTCTCTCTCTCTCTCTGTGACTATCATAAATAAAGTTAAAAAAAAAAAAAATTAATTAAGGCCCATGGAATCCAGCGATAGATTTTTTTTAGGTTAAGCAAAAAAAATTTTTTTTAATGGGAAATTTCCAACATGCACAAATGTAGAGAATACAATATACCCATATACCCATCATCCAGCTTCAACAATGACCAATTCTTGGCCAGTGATGTTTCAGCCAACCTCTCAACTACATCTCCCACCACCTGGGATGAATCTGAAACAGGGGGGTGGAATTTTTTTAAGACTTTATTTATTCATTCATGAGAGACACACAGAGAGAGGTAGAGACACAGGCAGAGGGAGAAGCGGGCTCCCTGCGAGGAGTACCCCCCCCCCGCCCCCCATGAGGGACTCGATCCCAGGACCCCGGGGTCATGACCTGAGCAGAAGGCAGACGCTCAACCATTGAGAAACCCAAGGGTCCCAGGCATGAAATTTTAAGATGAGCAGAAGGAAGGCGTTTTAGATACTGATGGGAAAGCATCAGGGGAGATAAGATGAAAATGCAAAGGAGAGAGATGGAGGGAGCACAGAAACGGATTAGGGACCTAAGAACGCAGACGGCACTGTGGACTTCGGGGGAATGAGAACGAAGCGGAGGAGCTGTACGTGTGGCATCAGCGGAGTCTGCGTGGGACAAGAGGAAGGCCCGCCTGGAGCAAGGCAAGGGGCAGTGCGACGCAGGGAGGGGGTAACTGAGAGCCACGGCTGACTGGCCGGGGGGCAGGGGCCAGGTGTGGGTTGACCTGATACCTGGTGAGGAGTCGGGCTAGCCTGGCACATGGAAAGGGCTGGCCTGGAACTCTGAAGGGGAGAGTTTCGGGGGAGGGGACGGGGCGAGGGCGGCAGCCCGCGACGAGAGTGGAATTAATCCGGACAGAGTGGCGAGGGGGACTGGTAAACCCGCAAGCGTCCCCCCATAAAGAGTCCTCCTGCGCGCCGACGGGGAATCATTTCCCAGTGACACCGCAGGCCCACCCTCCCGCCACCTCCGCGTGGCCAGGACCTCACCTTCATCAGGTTCCCTCGCCGCCACCGCCGCGGTCGCCACGGCCTCCATACTGATTCTCTACTAATTAGCCGCCGCGGTGGGGTCTGCACGCCAATCCCGGGCCCAAGCCCTGGGCGGCCACTTCCGGCTGAGCACACTCCGGGGGCCGGGTGCTCGGCGGAGTCCCAAACAACAGTTCCGGGCTGAAGGCGGACCTTCCAATGCGCATGCGTGGCCCCCTGGCGCCCCTCCCCCCCCGCAGCCGGGAACCTAAAGGGCGCCCGGGTCAGTGGATTTTCCCTGCCCCAACCCCCCCGCCCCCATCCGACCTGCTGCGGAATTGCACTATCAGAAAAGGATGTGACCCATCGTTCAACCTGCTCACCGCTGACTCCAGAGCCTGGCATGCTTACTTCTGGGATGGATGGTTGAATGGCCATAGTCCAGAGCCTCTTGAAGATTTGTACTTTGGTTTAGACTCCATCCGTTTTTCCTTCACCACTTCAAAGAGTATCTACTAAGCTTTGTCTCTTACTTCTGTCATCAAAACCAGTCCCGGACTAGCACGATATGGGTGGTGAGATCAGATAGAACTTCCCAGTGTGTTCCAGGACCTGAAGAATTGCAGATGTGAAGGGTGATAACCCTGGTCCTGGATCTGCTCTGGGTGATGGGTACTGACTCATTCAATTGTGTTAGCAACAAAGTGGATAGACCCATCACAGGTGAGTACCCTGACTGGCCCAGGCTCTCTTGGGGTTGCCTGGAGGGTTACGAACTTTCTTGAGATTTGTGACTCCCCAAGAACAAACCAGCAGTCTGAAGTTCAAAGGGGGAGTAGCAAAAGGTGAAGCCAGAAAGGTCACTGGAGACCAGGCACACAGGGCCTCCTAAGCCACACTAAGTAGCTTGTGTTCCTTTATCCTTCAGGTGGCGGGGTTGGGGCAGGGAAAGCATCAGGGTAAGGGTTTGGAGGTAAGGGAGATCTGTGAGGAGGCTGGTGCACTGATCCAGACCCTGTGGACTGGAGCTGAAAAACTTCCCATTTGCATTGCCAGGATGAGGAATCTGGACGCCCATTTGTTACAGCTGATAGGTGGGGACTGCCACTTGAGATTGCCCAGAGAGGCCAGCAGAGGGTGCTGTTGCCCAACACGTGGACCTGCAAAGAAGGGGACTTCCTGGATAGACTTGAGGCCCTTCCCCTCCTGCTCTCCCTGAGCAGGCAGATGGAGGCACTCTAGAGTCCCTTTTAGTCTAACTGGCCACCAATTTTGGCTCCACCTCACATTCAGATGCCTCATCCCTGACCTCCAAACTAGTCAGCCTTCCTCCTTTTGCAGCCATTGCTTTCCTAAGGCTCTGAGGTCTTCCTGTAAGGGAAGGGATGGGACTGAGATGGCACTCCTGTGCCCCAGCACTGTCCCTCACAAGGGGCCAGGAACACCATATATCCCAAAGTGATAAAGAAAATGACTCCAGTTGCTGGGGAAGGAGGATACTGGGCTATAGCGATGCAATCACAGTCTTTCTACCCTGGCTATTTAAAAAATTGTTCCCTTCTCCAGGAAGATCTCCCCTTACCACACTCCCCACTCTCAGGCTTTCACAGCTGACCACTTGGTGCTGTCACCGTCTGATGACAAGTCTGTGTTACCTCTGGACTGGGAGACATGCGAGAGCAGGGCTCAGGACTGCCCTAACCATGGTATATTCCCAGCACTGTCGAAAGAGTGAGGCATAGAGCAAGTACCTAACACATAGTTGCTGGATAAAAAAAGTTCCTGGAATCCCCACTGGCCTGGATCCAGGAGTGCAGGCAGGACCTGTCCTAACTCCAGCACCCAAGGCCAGGACCGAAGTAGATGGGCAGTCACACCCAATGATAACCCCCAACAGTCCAGCCCTGGTCTCCATCCCATCAGCTCTACCTAGGGACCTGCCATGCCTTCTTTACACAAATTCCAGGAGAGATTTGGGGCTGTGAGTGGACCAGAAGTGGAACCACTTTAAAATGAACTAGTGGATTTTAAACTGAGAGCCCCAGGTTTAAGGGGGGGCATCCCCAGCACCAAAACAGGGCCAGGCACAGGCATCCCTCAGTAGGTGTTTAATGGATGAGTAAATAATGTCCCCTTGAAAAGGTCCCACCCCAATTAAAGGCCAACTGCAGTAACACTTCAGGGTTTCAACCCTGCTTCCTTCCTGCTAGGAGGTGCCATGTCGTTTATTGAAAGAAAACAAAACAAAGCAAACACATTTCTTAATAAGTGCAGTTTGTTAAAATCCTGTTAAAACATATGGGTCAAGGGGGGAGTAAAAATAATCAGAGGATCATTGTAGGAAAAACCTTTAGGTCTGGCACCTGGGAGACCTCTGGAGAGGAGGCGGTGGGAGAAATTTCATGTTCTGAAGGGAAGGAGCCCCCCCCCCAACCTCCCCTTCTTCCCTCTCACCCGCTTAATCCCACCAGAAACTACCAAGACGCCCGGAATAAAAGGTTTCAAGTTCAATAGTCACACTCTCTCCAAATACAAAAAGCAGTTACAATTCAACTCAACACAGAAGCTCGTGTGCAAGGTTACGGGAAACTGAGACATCGTATAAAAAGTTAGGTTAAAGATGATTCTGTGGTTTTGTTTTTTGTGTATTTTGTTTTGTTTTGAGGGTGTGGCTCTTCCTCAGTCACCTGAACTCAGCAAAGAAATGGTTATCCTGATGAAATATCAACAGCCACAGTAAAAACAGATATTCTAAAAATTAAAAAAAAAAAAAAAGCATAATTTCCAAAAAATATCTGTCACTGCTTCCTCCCTCCACATTTTACTTTTTAAACTTGTGGGTTTTTTTTTTTTTTAAGTTTTTGATTTTTTTTTTTTTAATCCTGAAAAGTAGACAGTAAAACAGCTCCTGGAAGAATGTACAACCAACTGCATGAGGGTCTGGAAGCTGAGGGGCTGGAGCAGGGCTGGGAGAGGTGGGCAGAAGGACCCCCCCCTCAGCCACTGTAGCCTCACTGTATGACCAAGGGGGGTATGTGTCTTTAGTCAAAAATGAGGAAGGGAAGAGGAGGAAGAGGGGGAGGAAGAAGGTAAGGGGACAAACAGAAAATAAAAGGTCATTGTTGCCTGTTTGAATCCAGAGAAAAATGCCCAGCCCTGTGTTGGGGAAGAAGCCCCTCAGAGGGGAGGCAGTGGGCTGAAAGGAGGCAGCCCTGGGATGACCCGTCCCCCAGCACCACAGGACCCAGGGTGGGTAGACGAGGGGGCCGAGGTGGGCGCTGGTGGAGGAAGCCGGCAGGGGCCTCCAGAGCACACTGGCTACTGTGTGCTTGTGCCTCCCTGTGTGTTCCCGGAGTAGCTCCCGTAGTCGTAGTTCCCGTAGTATGGTGGCCACTGGCCCTGGTTCTGATAGTATTGGTTCCACTGCTGGGCATACTGGAGAGAGAAACCAAGAGCACCAGGTTGTCCTTACCCAGATCCACATATGGCTGCTGCTTTGACCCCACTCTCACCCAGGGCAGAGATGAGCGTGTTGACGATAGCCAACACACAGGTCCCCTGACAGAGAAATCAAGGTCCCTTGGGATGACATGTGACTGACCTAATGCCACATCGTTGGGGAGTCAGGGGCTACAGCCCAGACCTCCTGGCCTGCCAACCTAATGTCCTTGCAGGTGTAGGTAGATACCATATTCAAAACAGTAACAGGTATGATGGTCTAGCATCAACCAAGGGAATGGACACTGGCCATGGTGCTGAAGCAGGATTTGGAGGCCTCTACTATGCCATTTGCTGGCTTTACTGGGGAGAAGAGGTTCAGATACAGTTATTTATTAGCAGCCAGTGCATTAGTGTTGACCAAATGAAATGGCTACATCAGTTGAATGCCAGCTCAAGGCCTGCCCATCTTTGCAGCAGGAATAAATAGGGACTCCAATCACGGAATACACATTCATGTGGGTCCCCCAGAAGTCTCTCTATATGCACCCGCCCCCCAAGTCCCAGACTCCCTCCCGAGTCTGGCACCTACCTGTTGATACTGGTTATAGCTGGGCTGAGGGTAGGTCTGTGCAGTGGGAGGCGGTGGTGGGGTGTAGGGAGCCGGGTTGTAGCCGCCATAGCTCCCATAGTTGTAGGCAGGTGGTGGTGGAGGTGGAGGTGGTGGAGCTGTGTAGCCCTGGCTGTAACCTCCCTGGTTGTAGGGTGGCTGGCTGTAACTCGGCTGGAAAATAGGGGGAAAACCAGGGCTCTGTGAAATAGCTCAGCTGGGATGGAGAAAGGACCTTTATAAGCAGTGGGCCACAAAGGAACTTCCCTGGTGGAGGTTATTTGAAGGCTGAGGAAATGGATCAGCTCTGTGACATGCTGAGACAGGGTAGGAGGTAGGGTTGTGTTTTGGGCTCTACTCCCAGCTCTAAGACCCTGGGGGAGCAAGGCAGAAGCATCTTCTGAAATTCCACTGCTTCTCCGCCCCGTAAAATGATAATTACAACAGAACTACCCCTTCAGATTGCCTTGTGTATTCAGTAAGCCTGAGTGTACAAGCCACTGGCTACTCTATAAATGGTGGTAGTTGTTTGGGAAGGTCTGCTGAGAAAAGTAGTAGCAATTTCCCAAGTGCTTCCTACGTGCAGATGGTATCATTAACCCATCTAATCCCCCCATCAACTCTGTGGGGCAGGTTCTACTAGCTTCATTTTACAGAGAAAGAAGCCGAAGCTCAGGGAAGTGAAATCACTGAGCTCAAGTCACACAGTAAAAAGTGGTGGAGCAGGGACTCAGCCTCTGGTCTGTCTAGTTCCAGAGTCTTACCCACAAAGTTGTAATACCACCCATCCCTTGCAACAAACCTCGAAAATGAGTTCTACTAACAGCTCTAGTCCTTCATGAAAAAAATGAGGTCCACAGAGGTTAAACTGTGCAAGGTTATAGAACCAAGATGTTGTGGGGCTGGGGTTTGAATCTGTGCCTTCCTATCCTGTTCTAGGAAATATTCTGGTTAGACCAGGACTGGGAGCCATTCATCTGTCTCTTGTCAGCTGTTCTCAGGCCTGGCATCTGAAAGACACTCACGAAAGGGCTATGGACTGCTCTGGTTAACAGGGGCCTGTACATTCCAGAGCCCAAGCACCGGCTTTTGGAGAACTGGAACCAAGCCAGAAGCTGCTCCAGAGTGAAGCTCTCAGGGCCCAGGGCAAGACCTCCCAAACTTAGGGTCTGTCTCCATATGCTGGAGATAAGGGGGTTGGCTCCTTCCTCCAACCTAGGGAAAAGGAAACCCAATCAAGTACTTCCACCAGGATTTAGCAGAGGCGACACCACCACGAGAAATGTACTTGCTGGAGCAACCAATGCTCACAGCACACAACCCTAAGGGGTTGGGAGAATGGGTAGGTTCCCAATTTATCTGGGTTTGGAAGGAATATCTAGTCTAGGGTCCGTCACAGTCAAAAGCACTGCCAGGAAGAAGGGCAGGGTTGGAGGGAAAAGCAGAGAGCCATCTTGGCCATTCCCCAGGTCCACCTCCTTTGGCTTGCGCGCGCGCGCGCACACACACACACACACACACACACAAACACACACACACATGTTCTCTCACCTGTGGAGGGCTGTAGCTGCTGACAGTGGGGGTGCTGGTATTGGCGCTTGAGCCAGGGATGTTGCTATTCTTGTTGTAGCTGCTGGCCCCTGGTGGGTTCCGAGCAGGGCTGTAGCTGGGCGGTGGGGGCGGCTGCTGGGGTGGCGGCTGCGGCGGTGGCGGCTGCTGGGGTGGTGGCTGTTGCTGGGGAGCCCGGTTGTAGCTGCCTCGGTTGTTGGAGTTGTTGTTATCCCGGCTGTTATTACCCCAGCGGTTCTGGTTGTAGCCACCACCTCCGCTGCGGTTGAAGCCTGTATCGGAGAAGCCAGGGAGAGGTCTGGTCGCTCTGAACCCTCAGACCCCCGGGCTCCTCCCCACCGCCATGCAGCCTTAATAACTCAGTCATCGCTATCTGCAGACAGGCTTGTCTTGCCCACTAGACTGTGAGCTTGGGACCAGGGCTGTTTGGGTTTCTACTGTGTCCCCAGCAACTCAATGGCTGTTGAACCAATGGGAAGGGGTGGTCAGGAAGAGGGAAACTAAGTACCGAGGACACAGCCGGTCTCTCCTGAGTCGTTGAACAGATGTGGCTGGGCCCAGAATCCTTCCCCCTGCCAGCTCCAACAGGTTTCTGGACCTCAGCTTAGCCACTGGTGTTTTGGGAAGCCTTTCCTGAGCTCCCTCCCAGGTTGGATCAGGTATCAGCCAAGCCCACACTAACCCTGGGCTTTGCCACTCGGCCCAGAATCCTTCTGGACTGTCACTACAGCCTGATGTGTCTGTCTGGGTCATGGCTGTGTCCCCAGAATCATCTAGCATAACACTGAAACAGAGTTGGGCATGCTACTTAGATCATCATACACTCTGCTTCAGAGACAGCAAACTTAGTGACAGAAAGCCTGGGCTTTGGACCACTTGGTCCCATCTCTGGATTTAGCTGGGCAAATTTACCTTTTTCAGCCCACTTCTCTATTTAACACCTGGTACCCAAAACAGTCTTAACATCGATCTTGTACTAGGTCCTGACCTGGAACCCAAGACTGGCAATTAAACTCATGGTCAGATGGAAGGGAAGATTCACCAATGACACTAGAGTGACCTGCAAAGGGGTATGGGCTTCAGGAGCAATGCCCAGGGGAAGCAAGATAGCAGGAGAGTTCCCCTGAGGGTCCAGAATTGGACTTGCTGTCGTTCTCCACCAGAATTCAGCCCATAGCTAGTCCTACAGAAATCTCATCTATTGACTGAGTAAGCAGTCACAAAGCCCAACCCTGCTCTGGGAGCCAAAAGCGGAGAAAGCCCTGTTTGAGATGTCTCACCTCCTCGGTAGTTGCCTCCTCCACCGCTACCACCCCCTCGGTTCTGGAAGCCTCCTCGGTTGCCCCCTGGTGGGCCTCTGTTGTCATAGCGCTGGAAGCTTCCACCACCGCCTCGGCCACGGAAGCCACCACCTCCACGGTTGTCAAAGCGCTTTTCAGGGGGTGGCCCAGCCTTGCGACCTTCCTCATTGTACTGCCTCACCAGCTTGTCTGCTTCTTCCCGTTGCAGCTCAATGAACAGCACCTCATCCAGGAAGTCCCCGACGTCTGGCAATGTGAAGTTGGCTAGGAAGAAGGCAGGGCCCCAGAGGGAACAGAGGTCATTATCTTCTGAGGTCTGGTCCCCTACACCCCCAGGACACTGGCCTGCCAGAAGGGAGATGGCAGAGGGGATGAGAAGTAACAAAGTGAGAAGAGTCTCAATCTTTCTGACAATGATCAAGAGTTAACAAAGACCCTCCTCTCTTCTGAAGAGGTGGCTAAGTGCCACCAAATTTAAACACTCCTTCCAGCCTCCCCAGGAGGTGGGCCAGGCACGTGGAACCAGCATTCTTATTTCTACAGAGGAGGAGACTGAAGCCTGCTCAGTACCCCACTGGTGGTATTGAGTGCGGGGCTCTGTCTTTTCCCACACATCTTCTCCCTCATCCTGCCCCAGCCCCAACTAGTCTGAAAACTGTGCTACAAGACTGCCAGCAGCTCTTCCATTCACAGCTGCACCAGACAGGGAAGGGCAGAACAGGAGTAAGGGAAGAATGGACAAGATCAAAAAAGGAATAAGCCAGGAGCTGGGGAGGAAGGGACTGCGGAAGGAGCTTTTCTCTGGAGGAGCCTGCTGTGCCGGCCCCCTGGGAACGGCTCATCTCCTACCTTTCATTTCTAGGACCGCGTGATCTGGGACATCCTTTCCTTCCTCGTCGGTTCGCTTTATTGTTCGATCTTTTAGGTCCTCATCAGTGGGACAAATTACAATGGCTTTGCGCTGGAAGCCTTCAAATGGTCTCATTTTTCGTCTCTGGGCTGACCCATAAACATTTGTCTACGGGGAGATAACAGAAGAGGCAAGAGATGGTACATTACAATTGGGCTTTTTCTTCTGTCAGGTATTATGTAGGCCAGGATTTGAGAAAAGAATGATAGTTCTCCTAAGCAGAAAAACTCAGGAAACTGCTCTTTTTACTGCTCTTAATATTCTTGAGCCGGTCCTCAGAAAATGGGACTTGGGAAAGCGGCTGCTGACAGCTGCTGATAGCTGCTGACAGGACATGGGGATGTTCCCAATGGTTAGGCTTTTAACTCCTATCTGTTCTTGGTACGCCACTTCATACCCTCTCCCCAATTCCAAAGAAACACAGGCTCATGGTAAAAACGTCAGAGGAATAAGAATTTATTTTAAGAATCCCTTTATTCGCTTACTGCCATTCCTCCTTCCCAGAGATGACCCAAATTGAATTTATGTATTTCTAGAAAGATCTGTATGAATTTTTTTCTTTCTTAAAGCATTTACTTTGAGATATGATGGAAAAATCCTAGAGGTACACATGGGAAATTGTTCATAGTTAAAATATGGAACGCTTCACGAATCTGCGTGTCATCCTCAAGCAGGGGCCATGGTAATTTTCTCTGTATCGTTCCAATTTTATTTTAGTGTATGTGCTGTTGAAATCAGCACAGATTTGTGATTTTTAAGATTTTTATTTATTCTAAGAATAAGTAAATTTAAGAATAAATTTTATTTATTCTATTTTAAGATTTTTTTTTATTTTTTATTTATTCTGAGACACAGAGAGAGAGGCAGAGTCCTAGGCAGAAAGAAAAGCAGGCTCCTTGTAGGGAGCCCAATATGGGACTTGATCCCTGCACCCGGGATCATGCCCGGAGCTGAAGGCAGACGCCAAACTGTTGAGCCATCCAAGCATCCCGATGTGTGTGATTTTTAATACAAGTGGAATCATGCTACATACTCTCTGGAAGGCTTTTTTCACTTAATGTTTCTCTAACGTTTTTCTGTGCCAGTGTTCTCTTTTAATGGCTACATAATATTCACAGAATGTTTGCCATAATTAACTAGCCCCTTCTGACAGTTTTGTGGACTGCTGTCATCAACACTGTGGTTCTTTTATTCCCCTAGTCCTTCTCTAAAGCCATCAGGCTTACCCACAGGCTTCTACCCAGAGAGCGGGACAAGGCAACAGCCCATGCTTTTTCACAAGTGCAGTTTTGCTGCTAACGTTCTGTTCCCTTCCTCTAGGTGATGCACAGGTGTGTCCTGGGCTGGTGCTGACACAAAGTGGTGCTCTAGAACACACCTGACCAAGAGTAGCAGTTGCCAACAGCTTCCATTTACTGAGTACCTTCTATGTGCTCTTTGGAACTGAGACCCAGACCTGTGGCACCCCAGGGCTCACAGATTCAGCCTGTACACCCAAATCACCTGGATGCTACTGGAAAAGAGAATAGCCCTAATGTCACTCAGGAATTACCAAACTCGTTTCTGGAGACGGGACCCAGGCACCATACAGGTATCCTCCCTATCCAAACGTAAGACACTGAAGAGAATTAGGAGTCCTGAGGAATACCTGCTTTTGAACAACTTTTAGTGGCTCTGAAAGGGACTCAAGGGAAAAGCCCTTGAGGGGCAGGTACCAAGAGACACAGAAAATACTGTATTTCCATCCTGATAGGGTGGAAAAGCCCAGGGTCAAGTCCTAGCTTGGCCATTAACTCACTCTGGCCAGTCCTTATAGTTGCTTCATCTGTAAATCAGATGAAATGCCTCCCTGCCAGGGCTGCTAAAGACTGAGCGGAAAAGGATAATAGAACAACTGCCCCAAACACAATTAAGACCTTGAGTGGGGTTTCTGAGGCAGCCTCCAGCATGGGAGCTGTCTTGATAGAGGCAGGCAGTGTGTGTGGGGGTGGCTTGGCATATCCCAACTCTAACCTAAGTTAGAGTGTGGTCAGGTCACACCCCCATGGCCCTGGGTGAACAAGTTGCACTCAACCTACTTGTCTGTAAAATCAACAGACTTTGCATTTAATGAGTCTCAAGCCCTGAAAGGGGAAAATAGTATGAATGTCATATGGTCACTATTAAGACTTCAGGAATTCATGTTGAGTAAAAGCCCTTGGTTAGCCCAGGGCCTGGTTCACAGCCAACATTCAACAAATGGGAGCCACTGTTGTTATGGCTGTTACTGGGGAGGGAGGTATGCCATGGTTAGTCTCACTGTAAAGTAAACGTGAAGTGATCCAGACCAGGGGAAGATCAAATTAATAGTGACTTCCCATCAGAAAGGCAGGGACAGAGGGACGACGCCTGGGTGGCTCAGCAGTTGAGAATCTGCCTTCAGCTCGGGGCATGATCCTCGAGTCTGGGATCAAGTCTCGCATCGGGTTCCCTGCATGAAGCCTGCTTCTCCCTCTGCCTGTATCTCTGCCTCTCTCTCTGTGTCTCTCGTGAATAAATAAACAAAATCTTAAAAAGAAAGAAAAAAAAGGCAGGGACAGGGGCCCCTGGGTGGCTCAGTTGGTTAAGCATCTGACTCTTGGTTTTGGCTCAGGCCGTGATCTCAGAGTCGTGGGTCTGATTTCTGAGCCAGGCTCTGTGCTCAGCATGAAGTGGGCTTGGGATTCTCTCTCTCCCTCTGCCTGCTCATACTCTAAAAGGCAGGTACAGTGAGACAGGGTAGAAAGAACACAGGCTTTGGGGAAGAAGCTGGGGTTTGAAATCCCAGCTGTGCCTTCTACGATTTGTGAGACTGTAGACAAGTCACCTCATTAGCCTGTGTCTCAAATTTCTTCATCTGAAATAGAGGGATCAGATATTCCTCCTCTTGGCTCTGATGAGGATTTGCAGATGTGAGTGTCTGGAATGTGGCAAGGAGGGGGCAGGGAAAGTTCCAAGTCAACACACATAGGGTGGATCTGAAAATATGGCCAAGAGGACTGACACTGTCCCAGGAGAGGCTTCCCAATGGAAAGGACCAAGGAAAGTTAAATTCGAAGAAAAGACAAGACACAAGAGATCCTCTCCCAAGGCACAAGGAAGAGGATACTGGGCTGTAGGTCGGCCAGAGGCCAAGGACCCCAGTGCACATCTGCTGGGAGATCTGGGCTGTGGGTGCAGCTGTTCTCTAAACCAATCAGACCCTTGATCCTGACACACAACAGGCAGGGATGTTCTTCCCTGTGCCCCAGGGAAAATGTTCCACCCTTCAAGGAGAGGGAGGAGGATAGTCTATGCTGCAAGCACACACCCATGCTGGGATCTGGGCCCTGAAGACTGGCCCCTGGAGAGGTCGTGGGCCACAAGTGGTTAAGAGGCACATCAGGTTACAGAGGAAAAGTCCCTCTTCCCACTGCTCTTCCTGGACTCATTCCTAAAAGCAAAACAAGGTGGCATCTGATCATAACAAGATAGAATTTGGCCTCCTCCAGCTAAATAATGAGGTTTTCTCCTGGCACAAAAGCCAGAGTGACTGTGGCTCCAGACCATTCTGTGGACAACCCATTCCACGGTTCTTGCCCATAAGAAATGATCCTATTTTGACTGCCTCAAACCCCAAGGACAGGGATAAACACCTCCTGGAGATTTTCCAAGGGCAGACCTGCCCTGCAAATGTGCTGATGAGGGGGCAGAAAATAGAAGCAATGTGGTCAAGAAGGCTAGTCCTTGAAGCTTCATGGGAGTGGGAGGAGTGGGGGTGGAGCACACTGGACTCCTAATAATAGTCAGCCCCTGTCCTGGGAAGTGGCTAGACTCTGAGGGATGGGTCCTCAGACACTCTGGAACGGAGGTACTGAGAACACACTTGGCGAGTGTTTTTAAGAGTGTCTCTCCCTCCCCTTATTCCTGGTCTTGGGGAAGGGAAGAAGAGAGTCTGAACAAGGCCAGCAGAAATCCAAATGTTTGGCTTCCTGGAGGAAAGGGAGTTAGCTGCTGGTGGCTGTTGCTACAGCAAACACAGTGAGGTCAGAGCCCTTAGGTTGGCCCAGCAATGCTATGGTCACTGGGGGCTGCTAGTGGCTGTTGCTAGGAGACCAGCACAACAGCTAGGTCAGCTCTTCCAGCTGTGTGGGATCCCTATGCCCAGCTCCTGCTTCTCCCAGTCCCACCCTGCTTAGAGATACTGACTCTAAGAAGGTCTGGGGCTGTGTTCCCTGGCTCCCCAGCTATCCTCAATCCCCAGCGAAGTGGGCCAAAGGACAGGAGTTGAGTTTCTCCAAGAAGTTCTGTGGGCAGTTCTGGTGTATGATGGTCTGGGGGAATGAGGGAGAAATACAGTAGCAGAAATAACTACGGCTGTGAGAGTCCCACTGTCTCCTGTCCAGAGCTTATAGTAGGGTCAGGCTGGCCATGACAGGAACCTGGCTGGACCCCAGAGGAGCACATTTAAAGCAGGTGACAAAGTCAGTGACAAAAGAACTCTGGGCTTGGAGGTAAACCCAGTGGAAGGAACCACAAATGGAGGAAGAGAACTGTCTGGAATTGTCAACAATGCAACAGGCTGAGGCTCTGGGGATGGGGAAGGTGGAGAAGAGAAACACCTCCCTCTCTACAACAACTGCCATCAAGAGGTGGTTTACTCTGGACCCCTCCTCTTAGCTCTAGGTTTCTGTCTCACGGGAAGGCATGGCACTCATCAACGGGGATGCAAAGCAGGACTAGGACTAATACCACAGGTTCTGATGACTGAGACAGGGTTGGCAATGCTGTCACATCCAGTTCTGCTTCTGATTACTACTGCCTGGCCTGGCTCTGTGCTGTGAGAGCCCTAAGAGAACTCATTGCCTGCAGCCCTCAACTCTGGGAATGGTTTGGGGCCCTCATACATGGCCCTGCAGAGGCCTTCTCAAAGCCTTCAGGAGAGTTCCTGCCCCTGCTCTGCACCATCTCAAAGCTCTATGGTAGGCCAGGGGCAGGCCAGGCAGGAACTCATTCCAGAGGCTTTCCATGGGTAAGAAAGGGCCCTAAAGAGCACTTGAGGCAATGTGGCCTCCTACTTCTCTGTTCGCCTTTAGCCATGTCCCTCTCTGATGAAAACATGATCCTGGTTCCCCACTGCCCTCAGGACAAAGTCTCAACTCCTTTTATCATCGTCCATGTCCTGGCCAGGCACCCCATTTCCAGACAGCTTTCCTAATTTTCCACCATAGACCCCACCATTCTTGGCTGTGATTTTTCTGGGAGGTCAGCTGAAACCTGTTCTACCAGTAAACTGACTACATTACTTCAAATAGGTTCCTTTCTCTGATGAGGCCTCAGCTTCCCCCCAAATCCAGCTATTTTTTTCTTGCCCTCCTCAGATGTCCCACAGCTCTAACACCCCCATATCAAGAGGATTGAAATCATCATGATATATAGGTCCAGGCTCCAACACAGCCTGGGATAGGGGCTGGGATTCTGGCCAAAGGCAGAATTCTGGCTCACATAGCCTCTTTCTCCTTCCCTCTAAGGATGAGCATTTCTGAGGCCAACCTCGGGAGAGCCAAATGTGGGGAGGTCTGACCACTTAGGAAAAATCAGAGGGGAAAGGGAAAAGATAGCCCTAAGCTAAGATCCTAGGACTGTAGGGATTTTGCCGGCAGTACTGTCTCTGCTCTGGGAGTTCTATCTAGCTCAGGATTCAGCTATACATCGACTTATCCCTCACTGTTGAAGTTGG